CTGGTGGAAACCCTAACTATTCCTTGGCATGGAGGGGTCAGCATGTCAGACATAAAAGCAATAGTACAGCTTTATTGCAACTGTATAGATCCCTTCATCGGGATCTCCAAATTAAGGTCCCTTCATTTAATGGGTTCCAGTGAAACTACAACCAAGTTACCTGAGCTGTGCACTGACCTTAGAACTTGACTCTCAACGTTGTATTTAATGCACAAAGTTCAATCAGGTAAGTTCACTCTATATTACATGATCAAGATATCATACACGTGACAGCCTTGCTGAAACCATGTGGCAATGCCAAGCCTGTCATGAGTAAACCAGATTTAGCAGGCTCTCAGACACTGAGGAGGAGGAGGTCATCTGAAAGAGGTGCATTTTTTACATAGTTCAGCAAGGTATGGCAGGATAAGAGGCTGCATCACAATTCAGATAGCAAGGTTTAAAATAGATCAGGCTGTTTTGTTTCTCAGTACATAATACAGTAATGTCTAACTTAATCTTTGTTCTGTTTTATTTTCTTGAAGTCAAAGTACTCTGGAAAGGTTTTATCCAAAAGTGAATTGTTGATGCTTTTACTCTCACACCCCAGGAATTGTCTAATAATTCCTAACTATGCCTCATGCTAAAGCTGTAAATTTAACTGAACCATAAAAGACATTCTGTAGCAATCATAACATTTTCTACCGACTTAAGTTTTCATTTAAAAAAAAAATCATTTTGCCCCTCTGGCTCATGCTAATACCTTTGTATATGTAGAAAGTTACCATAAGTACATAAGGAAAAACTTTACTGTCTGAGCCCCCAAGGGCTGGAATAGACTCCCCCCAGAGGTGGTGCAAGCACCTACTCTGGACTCTTTTAAGAAACATTTGGATGCTTATCTTGCTGGGAACCTTTGACCCTAGCTGACTTCCTGCCCCTGGTGCAGGGGGCTGGACTTGATGATCTTCCGAGGTCCCTTCCAGCCCTAATGTCTATGAAATCTAATCGATTATAGGAGTAGAGAATGTGCAATTTGTGAAATCTAAAGTAAAAAAAAAGAAGTATCAGCATATGTTAGAAATAAATTACCGATTTTGCTGAACTTGGTTGAGTGACCTTAATTTTTTTTATACTAAACTCTTTCACAGTTTTGGGTAAATAAAAAATAAAAAGGTGGTTGGATAAGGACAGACCAAGAAAAAAGAGTAGCTTTGGCATGCTAGGAAGTGGGGCCATAAGTGAGGCCAGGCTGAGGAAGAGGTTGGAAGGTATCAAAAAGAGTAAAGAGTAAGATGTTTTTACTCAGGAGGATACTATAGCAAAGATTCTTACTCAAAAAGAATAAAGGAGTCAGACTTTTTAAAAAGCAAATTAATGTGTGTGGTTGCAAGACAAATAAATATACCTGTTACACTTATCACTTCTTTGTACAAGTGACATCCAAGGCCCACAGGAAAAACCATATCTGAACTCATAAAGTGTACGTGTGAGGGTGGGAAGAGGGTGATAACAGCTTCAAAAGCATGTTAACTTTACACATCTTCACAGAATCAGGGCCTCAGGTCAGCATCAAATAAAATTATGAACTACTATTAAAGCCTGAAATTATAAGTCCTGCCTTTCTACAGTACTGAATAAAGACAGTTCAGTAATTAATCTGCATGTGTAAGAGACCATTTTCTTCGCTATTTTGAGGTCTCTGGATTTTTATAAACTATTTGAGATTAAGAATTGAGATTATGTTTAAGCAATCCCAGTGGAAGGAGGAGCAATCATACATCGCTCAGGACAGCAACTCTCAAATTGTACTCAACAAAAGCCAATGATCAAACAGATGACAAGACAGCAATGCTGGCTTTCTTTTTTCTATTTTGGAGAAAGGGACTAGTTTGGAATAGACATTAAGATTAATCAGTTGCAAGCAGTGCAAAACAACTGTCACCCTTCTCTTGTCTGCCATATGAACTCCCCACTAGTTGAAAGTGATGCTTGTAGTTAATGTAAGTGGGGGGAGGTGTTGGAATGTCTATGAGATGATGCATCCACTGAAAGTTTGAGCTCCAGAGTTAAGAATCACAAATGTTAAAGTACAAAACAGTACTCAGGACCTCACAGGGTAGGACTGGGTTCATTTAGTCATCATGAAATTAAATACAATTTTTTTACTTCACAGGAATGAGCTTTTAAGTGAAACTCTGACTTACAACTGTCCTGCTGAGCTCATTAAATAAGTGCTTTGTTGTACTATTAATATTATTGTGCAATGACTCCCAAGATCCTCAGAAATAAATTATATATATTTAAACTGCCATGTAATAAAAAAGAAAGGGTAATGACACTAACATTAGGAAAATACTAGACCTTTTATGATTTTTGTAAAGTTTACTCAGTTCCTTAGGATCTGCTCACTTGATTTTCATTTGGTTTGTTTTGATTTAGCTAACTTGTAGAAATACAAGATAATATTTTAAAAAGGGAAAACAATAAAGACTATTGTTTACAATGCATCCCACCAGAAACAAACTCCAGCACAGTAGGCTCTGGGATCAGGCCCAGGCTCTGAGTAGCAGCATCAGGAGGTGGAGGAGCTGCCTGGGGCACAAGTGCTGAAACCGCAGTGCCATATGGCCAACTCCCCTGAGCCTGCTGCTCCAGTCCCAATCACTGCCCCCAACAGTACTCTTATGGCAGAGTTCATTTACTGCATCCTAATACTGACACTTGTAGACAGTGATGCTTTACTGTGGAGCCAATTAGTCAACTCCACTTTAAAGTGCGTGTGCAGATGCATCTACTGTTATATATTCTACTCTTCACTATTACAAATATTCCTGAAGAATAGTTAATTTTCAGTAATCCCAGTTTTCAAGTGCATGTACAAATCCTGTAATTTTCACTTAATGTTACATCAAGCAAACACACTGCCTGCTAAACTATGATATATGCCCCATATGCTTATCAATTGTCCAATTGGTAACTTGTGGACCTCAGCATGCAAAGGGTTAAGCTGTGGCTCCTACTCAACTGCTGCTCTCTCCACAGCTCCTGCTGCAATAGCAGCTGGAGCTATTGGCTCCCCACCACCCCTTCCAGCTTTCTCTGCCAGCCCATGTCCCAGGGTAAAGGGCAGGGCATGGTAGAGCACTAAGGGAGCCAGCCTGTGGCCATGTCCCTGAACTGGGAGCCACCAGTGCACACAGTACAAGTGGGTCCACCCTCTTGTGCAGTGCAACAGAGAAGGGGGCAGCTCACCCATGCATGCAATACAGCCGTAGGGGGAAACGGGAAAGCTACCTGTGCATGCAGTGCAGCAGAAGGTACCCCAGGGGCTCTCGCTCACATTAACAGGGCCCCCCAGCCATTTAGAAGTTGGACAGCCCTGATCCAGTGGAAAATAGGGGTAGAACATATATCCATTCAATTAATTACAGGAAGCACTCCTGGAAAACAGCATCATTTTGCCCAGGGATAACTCACATTTCACAAAAGGCAGCCAAGTAACACACTGTATATTCCAGGAAACTAACTTTAGTTCAATGATATAATTTCATATTTATGCATGGAATTGAGGCATGCAATTTGATGTTTAAACTATAGATTTTATCCACTAAAATTTGGTTTGTATTATATACTGACAAAATTAATACTAAGAAAAAGCATGCAATGACTATTACAACCTGTAACTTTAGGTTAAGTGCATGTATTTTGGTATACTGAATACTTTTGAAGGCATGCGTGGCATTCATATTTTACTGTTCTTGGCTTTGTAGCATTTTACTAGGGGGTTTTTTGGATATAAAATAATCAAGCATGCATAGCAGAAAGTTTTTTGGGTTTTTGGTTTTTTTTTTTTAAAGGATATTCTGTGGAATTACAGTTCAGTTGAACCAAATTAACCAAACTAGCCAAAATAAGCTATTGAGAAGAGGGTGGAAGGAATTATTTCTAAGACAGGGGTGGCTAACCTGCAGTATGGGTGTCAAGTGGCACAGACAGCCTGTTTGGGGAGGGAACTGGCAGCAAGTGGCAGGTAGGGCAGGAAGCAGAAAACAGAGCAGTAATCAGGTAGGAGGAAGGGGATCAGCCACATAGGAATTTATCATAACTACCATCTAGCATGACCAAATTATTGGCCAACTAAGCAGGCTTCACTGACCACTAGATGACCCGATAAGAAAGGCAGGGAGCCACATTTTCAGTAAGGCCATTTTTACAATGGGAGGTATGTGTGTGGGGGAATGCTTTAGCAAGCCACATTGATTAAAAAGTGCCTGAGCGTCACGTGTATCAGCTATAGTTCAAAGAGCCCCACCACCATTTTTCAGCATGGGGATGCTGATACATATGACACTAGAGTCTGCTGGAGCATGTTAATTTTCATGCTCCAGCAGACTCTATTAACTCTGCTCTGATGAGCTACATTTCCCAGCTCCCTACATATGTATAGGCACCCAAAAACACTAAGTCAGTAAGAAACAGTAGCTGAACAAATTGAGAAGTTGAAATTTACTAGCAAAACATAACAAGAGGCCAGCTGGACTCAGCAGGGGACAAGCTGGAGATGCCTCCCCTGTAAAAAAAACCACAAACCACAAACCTAGCAGGGAGCAAGTCTTAAATGCTTGAATTTGGCATGGGGGAGCTCCAGGTATCTGGACTTGGGAAAGAGATATGTAAAAAGACATAAACAAGGAGAACTAAAAACTGGAACAAGGTGGGGGCATTTAGGTTGTAAATATAGGGGTTGTAAGACTCACCCTTTTTGATGCCCCCACCTAGTTCCAGTTTTTAGTTCTCCTTGTTGATGAAAGCATTGCTTACTTGGCAGTTTCACTGAGCCAGGCTGATTGCTATACAAATCCACTAGTGTACTGTTCTAAAAAGACAATAATCCCATATAAACTTTTGCCACCAAATACTAATTTGAGTTGTTCTTTCCGTCTCACCCAAACTCCATGAGGAATAATGTTGGAAAATTGATTGTCCTTGTCATGCTATTTTCATAAGAAACAAACACACACATTACATTATCTTTATTTTTCCACATTTGACACAAATAAGTGAACGTTTTCTGTTACAGTTTTCTAGAGAATAAACAAATTACCTATTTGGGTTATGAGGGAAAAAAAACAATAAGGATAAATGCTTTAGTCTTAACCAGAAAAAAACCCCATTGCTTTGCTACCAAACAGTCAAAGTTGCCTTAAGAATGCAGAAAGTAAAAGCATCCCATAAGAATGTCTATGGTCTAAATACAGCAAAGTGGATCTAAAAGTAAAAAACAAAACACTTGATTACATTAGCTAATGTCCCCAGCTTTTTCATAATGAAATAGCACTTAAAGTGCAATTACTGTAGTTGTGTATAGAATATGCAATATAAAAACACATTTATGCATAAGACTTAAGTGCACCAATTTTATACATTCACTGCGTTTTACTCTTCATTGATTGGGATGAAATCAGCTGCCTGCTCAACTTTATACAACTTTAAAATGTTTTGGCATGTTTCCATCAAGGATGGGGGGAAGCCAACCAACTGCACTCAAGACAGGTAATTTTAAACTCAATTAAATTTCATTAAAAAAAAATGCCCTCTTCACATCATTAAAATGAAACTTCATGAAATACAAAATTTCCAAGGGGAGGAGACATTACATATCTTTACATGAACATCCACAACAAATATCATATTAAGCGGTGTGGGAAAGACTCAGGTTAAAAAGAGGCCCTGAAGTAGTTTTGTCTGCTGTCTTAGTTATGTTGGAGTAAAAAGGATTTGGAATAGTGCTTTAGAATTTGAGTCCTTCAAACAAAAAATGACCCAAAAATATTTTGGTAGCAAATTATATTTGATGCAAATTTTATTATCACGCATATTGCTAATAAATAAGTTGTTCTATGAAGACATATTGCCAATTAGATGTGTAATTAGATTCCTACAACAGTATATAACTACTAAAATGAAGGGCTACAATTAAAAGTTGATGTTATGCTTAAAGGAAGTTACTAAGACAATGATACTAAGACTTACAGAAACATATACAACAGGTTTAGTTACATATACTAAAATGTTACAGCACTCTACAGAAAAAAGATTACTGTACTTTTTCTACAAAGCATGATAGTCAGCTATATTATAGAAAAATGCATCCAAAAATGCATTTCTCTTTATTACTTGTTTTGTCTCATTCCTTGTCCAAATTGCATAGCAGAAAAAGTACAACCTCTTTTCTCTACAAATTGAGATTAACACAGCTTCACATTTTACTACATTTTTGCCCTTCTCAGCTTCCAAGTTTGCAAAAACAAATATACAGTTTCTCAAAAATGAATTTAATGATGTCCACATTAAAAAAATAAAGCCTACAAAAAGTTCGAGATCTAAAAAATGTTACTTATATGGCACAAAAGTAATCTCCTACTAGTCCAAAGTCCAGAACAAATTACTGATGTCCATTTATATTGTCTTATTTTTCACTTCATTATTCAATTTATCGAGTTGCAATCATATTATTTAAGCAGTCCTTGAGCCGATGGAGAGGGCAGAGTTCACTACAATTAAAAGAGGAGATCAATCTGGCTGTGCCACACTACCACTATCTGCCTCAGAGGCACTCTTAAGATACTTAGAAAAAGGATTTCCTTGGTTGGTTTCCATAGTTTGATAGACCAAAAACAGGAAGACTGAAACAACAACAAACAGAAGAATTTTTATCCACATGGGAATGGAACGTTCTTTTTTAGTTGTTGCTTTCTTGGCCTTCATGTCTGTTGAGAGACCATATTTTGGAACATATTTAGATGAAAAGCTTTCCTCCACTCTGAAGTCACTGAACTCGATAGGCCGGCTAGCAGCTCCTTTGATTGGTCTGCGACAACTAGCACTGTTAATGAAAAAGAATAATCAATCGCACAGTAGTTACGTGAGCAATGTCAAATCGTATAAGGAGATTTTTATCTTTAAAAAAGAGAAAAGAATGATTAAGGATCAAAAGGTTTTAATAAAAGGTATAATTTCAGGTACTGCTACCTATCTAGTTATACTTTCACAAATTGTTTATGGGGGGGAAATAATTAAAAATTCATAAGTGATAGGACAGTAAAACGCTATGATCTGCGTACAGGTTAAGTGCATATTCAGCTAGGTGTATCTGTGGATCCTAACTTGTCTAACTGCCAGGTTTTAATGTTTTGTTGTGCTTCATATCCAAGTGTAGCAATTCATGAGCTCAGTTAAAGAAAACAATCCCCAAACAGCCCCCACTACCTCAGGCAAGTCAAGCCACTGAAGTGGAAAGACCTTCAAGTCTGGGGGACTACCCACTGGGGAGGAAAAAACCCACCCACCAACTAGTTTATGTACAGAAATATACACTGGGGTACTCTGCCCCATCTCCATTCTCATACATCAGAGTAAGGTGCATTACATGTGGATGCATCTACATGTGCTTTACTGCAGTTGGCTAATTAGCTCCGCAGTAAAGTGTTATTTTCTACATGTGCACTGGAATTAGAGTGCAGTAAATTAATTAACGCCACCACAGGATAGTACTGTTGAGGATAGTACTCTCCTATGGTGGAGTAATTATGTGCACTGGAATGCATGTGTAGATAGCAGGGTGGATAAATATCAACTATTTTTTAAAAATAAAAAATGATTTTTTAAAAAATTTAAATCAGATTTTTTTAAATTTAATCTTTTTTTCAAACTAAGATGCTCCAGAGATAACATCCTCATTAACAGCAGTATATGGAGATGAGAGGTAACAGACCTGATTACCTACCCATCAGTCCTATTGTCTCTTTGCAAGTTTGTGTACACAGAGTCAAGCCCTTACCTCTCTCTAAAAAGTGCAGTTTCAAGAAGTTAAATGAATAGAGGACTGTTAGGGGTAGAATATATCTGGGCAAGGAGGAGGAGGCTGGAGATAAATGCAAGGAGAGAGAGGGCAGTAGAAACAGAAAAAACACTGAGCAGAACATTCCAGAAGTTGAGGGATAAATTTGAGTATAGCCTGTCCACTGATTTGAGATCTAGTGAGGGAATAGTACGTAGAAGGGAAGGACAAATTGTGAATAAAATCATGACAAAATAGATGGAACTGTCATAGCCAATGTTTTCAACATCGGGCAAAAAAGAAAAACGTAGAACGTATGCTGACTATCCTGAAGCCTATTTCCATAGCCCTGAACAAAGTGCAGGTAAATTGCTGTTTTATAGCTGATGCTGTTGACATTTGGAAGAAACTGAGTGAGACCTTGAAGAGAGAAATATGCAAAGACAGAGTTAAATTACAGGCATTAAAAAAAATGGATCAGGCACTGTACCAAATTCATTTCCTTGTCAATATTCTCAATACTTGGTACCAGGGTTAATCCTTAACTGATGAAGAAGAGCTGGCACATGGGCATCCAGCAACCATCCCTCCATAATACCAACCAGAATAAATTTCAGGGCTAAGGGTGAACCATTCAAGAAACATATGTTTGCCTTCAATGCTTTAAAGAAAGTCACACCAAAACTGGTGGAAGTCACTTAAGCACCTGGATCCATCAGAGACTATTGAAGTGATAATCCAGTTTAACAGCAGTAGCTTCTTCTGCAGGTATAGAAAGAATATTTTCTGCCTTTGGACTAATTCATTCTAAATTGAGAAAAATCAGTTGAGAACTGAAAAAGCAGGAAAGCCTGTCTGTTTTTTCAGTATATGAATAAACAGGAAGAGGAAGGTAAAGACCGAGTTTGATCCATGACCCAGTATTTTAAGTTTCTCATGCTGACTTGGCTGAAATAACGTATTTGTTTTTTGTTAAAAACACATTTCACATTTATAACTAAAATAATTAAAAATTAAAAAATACACATGCTTGTTAAAATAGTTATACATGGTTGTTTTTGAAGAAAAATATCAAAAAATGGTAAGTTTGTTGTTTTAAATAAAACAACTTAAATATCTATTGTTTTTGGTGATGGTTGTTGTTGTCCTAATACAGCATGGCAAAAATATCCACCAAATATACATGATTAATCTAGTGAATTGGAGATAGTTCACCTTCCAATGACTTCACAAGTATCTGCTTTAATTATGATTTGGTTATTTTATTTACCAAGGCTAATTCAGTTTTCTGATGTAGCTGCAAAAGTAATCTGAAAAAATATCAAAATAAATCACTGGTTTAAAATATATATTATGTACCTTCTAAAATGAAACCTGCATCTCTGACTTGTGAATATGTATTAAGGTTATATTAACAAGAACGCACTTTTTATAGAAAACAATTATTAAAATTGAGGCTTCCTGACCAGTGACTTAAATTGGTTTGATTTAAATCAAATCTACCCTGGCAGACAGTGACAGGGCCTGGCTGGAGACGAGAGTGCTAAAGTGCAGGAGCTGCCTGACAGCTTGTCTTGCACTTTAGCATCCTTGTGCACCAGCCAGCCTCTCTGCCACTTAATGCCACCACCTCCAGAGTCTAGGACCCACTCCACTCCCACTCCAGGCTCCCTGACACCACAGGGTTCCTTTGCCCTGGCTGCATGTGCAGATGTTGTGCCCAGGAGCAGCTGACTCCAGTGCAAACTATGCCAGAGTTTATCCTGTCACTTTAATGGCACATGTAGATGCACCCTGTATGCAACACAGTAGTAGTTTAGAGAACTATGCCCTGTTTTGGCAGGGGGAAAGACTCACATTAAGAAAATTCAATTTTTAAAGTAGTTTTGTTGGCTTCAAATAGGCATTTAATATGAATTTTTAGTTAAAATATTTCCCTATTGGTTGCATATTAGTTTGTCATACCTCAGTTTAAAACCAAAAACTAGTTAACTATGGATTAACTCAAGTATTTGAAATATTGCCTGTTAATCATGCCAGTCAACAGGTCACCATATAAAACCAGAGAATGCAATGACAGGAACCAAGATCTCTAACTTATTGCTCACGCAATGCAGACAGAGAATACCTAGACCTTTTGCCAGCTTTAGAGCAGCATCAAATCTAACATTATATATAGTAAGTGCCAATAAGGGAATCCAAATTCCTTCAGGGAAAGAATACCTGCTTCTTGTTCACTGCTGGGTTTTGTTTGTATAAGTTACAAAACCCAAGTTTGATGTAGCATGTCTATTTCTAACTCTCCCCAGCAAGAATACCAAAAGCTTCTCTACCCCACTCCACCATACATGCTTACTCCTGGATTAGCAATTATGTTGCAACAGGACCAGACCCAATGCTTTCAAATGCAAACTGGTATTACAAACACTTCCATCTGGCTGTAATGCTAGACTGTCTTAGAAAAGGAGTAGAGATTACTCATATTAAAAAAAAAAAATTATCAGAGGTCAACCCCAAGATGAATTACATGTTCCAGAAAAGCAGATTTCATGTTCTAACCTTAAGTGTTCATCCAAAGGCTACACGTGCATGTTTTTCTAGAGCAGGGGTTCTCAAATCAGGACGCCACAGCACTTGGAGTGCTATGACACCATTTCAGACATGTCACATGCTTCCTGCAGTCAGATCGGGAAGCTTACTGGGGCAGGAACACCTGCTCTTGCGATAGCTCTTCCCAGCTAAACCCCACAGGGTGTCAGTTTTGTGTAGTCACTTTAAGTATGATTTTGGTTAGAATGATTGGGGACAATTAAGGTGCAAACAGACATAACACTTAGACCAGTTTAAATGTGGTTTAAACTGGAAGTATCCTGACATACAAGCCAGTTAGAATTATTTAAAAGTTCCTGTAATGTTTCAAAGGTATATCCAGGTAATCAAATATTATTTTGAACTAGTTCAGTGTTATGTGAGGACACCAAGCTTTCTGTGATTAGTGTCTAGTTGATCCTCCAGGCATCCCATTCTGTACTACTCTTTATTCTTCCACCCCAAACCCCCACAAAGCAACTGGCTTTTCTGGTACACAGCCAGAACTCTATTGCCACAACCTTTATTGCCTGCACTCAATTGCAGAGGCCCTGGCTGGGGGCAGCCCTCTGCTGCTTTTAAAGACAACTGCTTTTAAAAAGAGCTGGTCAGCTTCCACCGGTGGCAGTGGTCAGCTTCCACTGGTGGCAGTGGAGTCCTTGGGTAGCCCCCAGCCCTCAGGCAGGGGTCCAGGTAGCACCCCCTGCAACCCGGCCACTTCCCACCCCAGATAATCACAGTTCCATGCTTCTCAGGCTTAACTGCCCTGAAACCTGAGTCTTCAGGCACACGGAAGCAGCGAGCCAGGCAGCAATCCCCCCAAACCTGACCAACCCTTCATCCCCAAATCAGCTTGGGATGCACCTCAATTTCCAGGAATTGAAATGAATTGATGAATGGCTTCAGAGACAGTGTTCTTTAAAAGCTGAAAAACCTGTCAAGAACCCAGCCCTCAGGAGTCCAGTTTGCTCCTAGCCCCCCTTCCCTCTGGTCTGGTGGCTGGAAGCAGGTCAGGCAGGGATCATGGGGCAGTGATGGTGGGGGGCTGCACTGGGAGCAGATCATAGCTCTGCCCCAGGGCTCCGGCCCCATGCCATCACTGCCCTGCAATTTTGGCCCTGGCCGCCCATCCTGCTCCTGGATGTCGCTGTTTGCCCACGGCCTCATCCCACCCGCCCAGCTGAGTACACCCTGCCCGGGGAGGGGTCCTAGGCGGGTATCCACGGAGACCCTGATGGCCCACTCCAGTAATCTACCACTTCGAGTTTTGGTGACCTGTTGCAAGCAGGGCAGAGGGTTTGGCCCTCCAGCCCAAATAAGTGCCCACCCCCAATTTAAAAAGGAACCCAGAATGGGATTTAAAAAAAAGACAACTGATGAAAACAGTGAAACGGGAAAATACTTCAGTATGTTGAAAATCTTGGACAGGAGACTGACACTAAAGTGAGACATCTTAAAGTGGATCCTTATAACCAGGGATCCAGGTTTTCCATTTGCCATATAAAGTACAGAAAGGGACAGATTTTCTCCTTTAAAAGGTGGTCATCTGGCCAGGTGCTGGGGGATTGGAAATTGGCTAATGTGGTCCCAATTTTTAAGAAGGGGCGGAAGGAGGACCCAAGTAATTATAGGCCTGTAAGCCTCACCTCGGTGCTCGGGAAGCTCTTGGAGAGGATCATCAAGGAGCATATCTGTGGGGGGCCTGCAGGGGAGATCATACTCAGGGGCAATCAGCATGACTTCAAAGGCAGGTCCTGCCTGACCGACCTGATTGCCTTTTACGACCAAGTAACTAAATCCTTGGATGATGGTGTTGCTGTGGACGTAGTCTTTCTAGACTTTAAGAAGGCCTTTGACACTGTCTCTCACCCCATCCTCATCAATAAATTAAGTGACTGCATTGATGCCTGCACAGCTGGATGGGTAAAAAATTGGCTGATGGGGTGCACCCAGAGTAGTGGTGGACGGGTTGTACTCAACCTGGCGAGACGTGAGCAGTGGGGTACCCCAGGGCTCGGTCCTCGGGCCCGCACTGTTTAACATCTTCATCAGCAACTTGGACGAAGGGGTGGAAAGCATGCTCAAGTTTGCTGATGACACTAAGATGTGGGGCGAGGTGGACACACTTGAAGGGAGAGAGGCTTCAACTAGATTTAGACAGACTACAAAAGTGGGCAGATGAGAATAGGATGGGGTTCAACATAGACAAATGCAGGGTGCTGCACCTTGGGAGAAGGAATCCACAGCATACATACAGGCTGGGGAGTTCCCCTCTTGAAAGCACAGAGGCAGAAAGGGATCTTGAAGTCATTATTGTGACTCCAAGATGAACATGAGCCACCAATGCCAGACCGCAGCCAGCAAGGCCAGCCATATCTTGTTATGCATCCAAAGGTGCATCTCAAGCTGGTCCAGAGAAGTGATTCTCCCCCTCTATGCGACTTTGGTCAGGCCGCAGTTGGAGTACTGCATCCAGTGCTGGGTGCCGCACTTCAAAAGGGATGTGGCCAGCCTGGAGA